GGAGTTGAAGTCCACCCAGCTTAAAGCAGCCAAGGTTGAGAAACACTGGTGTAGAGCAATCCTGCCTTTTAAACTAAACAAAACGACAGCGGGAGGAATCATGAATTAATTCCTCTTTGTATCAGAGTCTATAAGCTTGGGAAACATTCTAAAGAGCTGTACTGTAAGAAGCAATATAAATTGAATAAAACAGGATACCTTCCCCCTTCCCCCCCAAAGTGCGTTACAGCATAAGTGGCAAGATCCAGATTCTTGCCGTATTTACAGAAGGTCGGTTAAAACCCATTCAGCTTTAGCCAGGACTCCTTTAAGTCACACCTATTTTAAACCTGGCTCCCTCCCAATGTATGTCTCCCAGCCCATCTCGAATGGTTTCACTTTAATACATGAAAGTGATTTTTTCAAGGCGCTGCCAATTTTCAGCGCTTGCAAAACCAAGGGCATTAACTGAACAATTCCCCAATTAATACAGGGACAGGCCAAAAATAACACCGGGAGGAAATGGACGCAAAGGAAATAAGTTCATTTTTCTTCTTTCCTGCGGAGACAACAGAGCGCTGCCTGCTCTGAAGTAGAGGTGAGAATGAATGCGAGTTCCCGATGACGCCAGAAGAGAGCTATGCTCTTCTGAAATGAACATAGTGCGCACATCTCAGCTTGATAACTCTGGAACATCATACAACAGGCAAAAAAGGCCCATCTGGTCCCGTGATTTAAGGCACCAGAAGGTCTTCCAGGAAAGAGTAACTACAGTATATGATTCGTTTGCAGCCAGAAAGTGACCATCTGGCAAGTTCAGACAACATGCTTGAACTCCGGTGTTGTTAAACCCAATTTAACAAAACCCAGTTCACTTAACATCAAGCCCAAACCAACCACATACTAGCATAAGATGATACGAGGCTCATGCAACATGCTAAGGACACAACTGTGGGTGTGAAGCCAGCTTCCAGTACTTTAGGCCAGTTATACATATGCAGCATGATTTCCATGGTGCCAATAATCCAGAAGACATTTTTCCTTGGTATCGAAGTTTTTTCTCCCACCTGAATTCATTATTTTTAGATTTGTTTAATAACCTTGACAATGAATGGAAAGCTGTCATGTTATAACAAAAATGCCAACGTCTAACATTCTCTGTTTTTACAACCTTGCCTCTAGGCCAGATATGTATTTTACAACCTTGCCTCCCCATATATGTATTTTAGAGAATAAAAAAAGGTGATATGTTTAGAAATGGGCCCACCTGCCCAGAGAGAGAAAAAATGAGTGCCAGAGAAGATTGAATTGGGAGGGGGAGGGGGATAAGAGGGGGTGCAAGAATAGCTTGTCTCCTGGCACATTAACTTAATTAGTTAACTGCATTTATTATGGCTGTCCACTCCAGAAGACTCTGGGTGGCTTACAGAATCCAAAGATTAAGACTTTATGATTGGTTATGCCATCTTGTAACTAGACTAGACCCTTCCCTTTCACAGCCATTGTGTGAGAATGCCCGCAACACGTTCTCAGTCTTCTAAAGCCATGTTATCTACTTCTAACGCAACATTTTAACTACTTCATCAGATGCACAGTGAGTTACACAAATATTTACCTCTGCATATAATAAAGAGCCACAGGTCGTAATTCTTCATCTCATTGATACACCCAGCATTTATGCTTGCCCCCTCTTTATATCCAGAAAAGACATTTGCTTGCAACCGAAAATAACAGTTTATGCTTCCGATGAAGTAGAGTCTAAATCATGAACAACAACCATGAACAACCGTGCCAAAATAAATTATTTCATCTTTCAGGTCCTATATGCCTCCCTGATTTGGTTTGGCTTGAGTTTTTTGCTTTACGATAGAGTCATCTAGAAGAACGTCAGAGTATCCATGTTCTCTGTGGCACTGCTTTAAATGTTCAGAACCAGAGGATGGGCTCCTTCCCCAAAAGGGACCTCGGGATGATGAAGGGAGTGGATTTTCTTCTTAACGTAATTAATCGCTTTAAAAAGTTATGCCTCAGTTCTCCACAAGCTTCAAATATGGAAAAGAGGCTCTCTCCATCAGCGATGCCAGGGAACTCAGAAGGAACAAAATAAACAGAGCAAGAGAAATGAAGAAGAGCTCCATTTAAGAACAAATTAGCATCTCCATCAGGAACAAGTTAGAAATGGTGCCCTGGAATTCCTAGCTAGCCACGGCTACTGTATCTGGAGGACACCTAGTCAGGGAAGGTCAAGCTAAACAGTTAGCAAAAAGGGGGATGACTCCCATGTTTTTGCTCACATGCACATTCTCCAACCATTATGCCTGACTCTGGCCTGTCCCAGTTTTTCAGACTTGAAATCTAAGCAGGTACCACTTTTCTCCTCATTACTATGATGCGACAAGCAACTTCTCATTACTGGCTGAGATGTTTGCACAGTCCAAATCCCATTCATTATGGCTGCTGTGAGCAGGCCAGTCAACACTGCCTTTTAATACCCTCCTATTCATTTCATTTGACAGCTAACAACTAAACATCTCTTCCTATACAATGAAGCATTCATTTCATGGCAGAAAACTGAACCTATGTGTATGGGCTTGCTCCGTGAGTCAAATTTTAAATTTACTGCCATGGTGTCTTATCTCTTGACGGCTCGCCACATTAAACTCCATCAATGTGTTTTACAACTAGCAGACTCTTTTTAAAATCGAGGCAACGCGTTGACTGCAATGCCTCCCTCAAACCTCTATGCAAACAGGAACAGCTTAGAAAATTACTAATCCTTTCCAATAAGGTGTGATTTGTTAAGCCTGCAGTATGGTTTTTATTACGTTGCTTGAGACAAATTTAGAATGGTTTCCCGTTAATAGGAAGCTGAGTTGAATAAATGCATTGAAAATCCTTATGCAGGGCTGGCTTGGGAGCTCATCAGATACCTGGTTAGAAGAAGTAGTGATAAAAATACTTTAGCGACAACTTGGAGGTTGAGAAAGGAGATTCATTCCTTCCTCTCCAAAAAAGAAGTCTTTTTTCTCTGTATTTCTTTCACCTTCACCTAGCATATACTACTCATAAAAAAAATTATATAGAAATCCAGGGATGTGGCTGTCTTATTTTAGAGTAGCTTCTCAACCTTGGCAACTTTAAGAGATGTGGACTTCAACTCTCAGAATTCCCCAGCCAGTTGTTAGCTGGGCAATTCTGGGAACTGAAGTCTGCACCTCTTAAAGTTGCCAAGGTTGAGAAACACTGTTTTAGAATATGTGTATCAGAACAGAGGCATGGAAATGAAATACACAGAAAGCCTCTGAAACATTGCATTCTCATGAAGCCTAGTCTCTCCGCTGCTTAAGTCCAGCTGTAATCAATGGGACGTGCTCCAAAGCACGTGTTCGTACAACATGATGGTGCCCTTTTGGCCGTGAGTTCCAAAAAGAGCTGTGTGAAATAGCTACTTACTGCTAACCAGTAAAGCCACTCTAGGCATACTAAGAAACCCCTCCTCTATGATATTGTTCCCTGCCAGTAGCCTGCCTTGTTAGGAGAGGAGAGTACCCCCTCCCTCACCCCCCCAAAACCAAAGCTAGGAATCTTCTAGGAACTAAGAATGCAGATTTGATAGTTTGGGAGCAGAGGGTGTTTTTTTCCCAGCTTTTCCCCAATATTTCCATTCCTCGTCTTCGGCACACAAGTCCTAACCGAATAACATCTCTTAATGCTATTTCTGCTAATGTCTCATGGTGCACATTTTTTTTAAAAAAAACATCCTTGATAGTCCTACACCTTCAGAGTAACCTTTTCTATGTTCCTGAGTCAAATTCTGGCTGATTCCCATGACTGCTTTTTCCAACGTCCTTTGATCAAGGATCTGACTAGGCAAAAGTCCTTGGCGTAGACTTCTGATCAAAGGACGTGGCCCTGCCTGCGGGCTTACAGTTGGAAAGGGGTAGGGGGGAGAGTACAAATGTAGAATTTTATTATTCAGCCAAGCTCAAAACAACTCATGCAGGGCATCTGAATCATCTCGATTTCAGCTGCAAAGTGGTTCCCCAAAACTCAGGGGATTGGCCACAAGGCCAGTGCAATCAGCATGTGACGTGACTCTAACTCAGTTCCTTGTCTTCTGTTTTCACATTCAATCTCACTGAATTGTGCTAATTCAGACAGGCCTTTCTCCAAAAGAGTGCTGTTCTGGATTATTCATGCTCTTTGAGCCAATATACCAACTTGCTCGAAAGTTTACAAATCCTTCTATTATTTGGGGACAGGGAGAGTGCAAAAACTAGCTGGGTACAAATGCTTCTCTGGGAACGTGCTTTGATATTCAGAAAGGGGAGTTCAGTAGAATAAAACAGAGTGCGACATACTTAAATGGTTACACGGGAGAATACAGATGCTCTGCTAAGGAAGGCTAGACTACATTCTTGCTAATGGCTGAGCAGAGCTTCTTAAAGAAAGAAAAAGAGGTTGCCTGTACAAGTGCGGTGTGCTCAGAGTGAATTTGGCTCCATGTTCTCCCCTTCAGGTTTCCCATCACCTTGCTTTGTACCCTTTGAGTCATTTTTGCAAGAAAACATTTCCATTAAAGGAGATGAGCACTGATGCATTTTCATTTTGGAGTCTTTGCCAGAGTTACTTCCATTTTTTTTAAGAGGATGAAAAGAATGGCCTGAAGCCGTCTACTTATTTTGATGCTGAGAAAGACCTTTTGTAACATGCTGCCAAAAAATCAATAGTGGAAGTTCAAGCAAACAGGTGGAAAGTTTCTGCTCCAGAAAGGTTTTTCCAGCCCCCCTCAAACTCATCATTAATAATTCCACTTAAAAGAAATGATGAACATCAAACTGCCTTAACATCAAAGCAGGATGATTCATCAATGAATCTGTAGATTTGGCCTTACAAGATCTGGGATGAATTGCACAGAAGCATGAAAACTGGTCCCTGCGACTTCTTGTTGCTCTAACTTGGGGAAAGAAACAAGCAGGAACAAAGGGGAAACATGGCTTAAAATAAATAGCCCAATAATGCTAACTATAATTACAGTTACAGGAAATGTCATTCTGACAAATCCACAAGCCTAAGAGAGCAATACTGACTATGAAGGGAACTGCATCACCACCATACGATCTACAAAACCTCTCACAGATGAAAGAGAAGCCACTGTGCTATGGCTCAGTCAAGGGAAATGGAAACAACTCTCTTTCTATCATTTTAGCCCTAGGGCAAAAGAGACCCCTGATTATTTTGGAAAAGGACTGCTACTTCAAAGGTGGTTTATCCAATTGGGCAATGTGGTGTTTCGACAAGACAGTATCTTTTCTGGTGACAAATTCAATGCCGTTGTTGTTGACCGCTTTTCGTCCTCTCTCATCGGCTTGGATGATCGAACTCAAAGGCCGCCAACGTGACATGGTCCTTGCAGGTGTCATGCTCTCACGGGTCAGAGGTCGCCACTTTGAGGTTCCGGATTGCGTGGTTCCTTTGGATGGCTCCGAGACAGCCTTGGAAAGTGTGTGGTCGCTCGCCGGCGACTGGTTTTGCTCGCCGATTCTCCTGCAGGTTGGAAGTCCCTAAAAAATGGGGAAATAAAGAAGTCATGAGCAAATGTTCATATGGCTGTTTTAAACAGCCAGCCTCTTTTTCCATCCTCACAACACGTTTGCATGTGGAATGTTGCAAAGCGGCCACTACGTTCAGCTCCCTAGACTGGTCCTGCTGGCGTAAACAACTACGCAATCAATCGATTGCAAAATACAGTCTTATGTACACAATACGATCGATACTCAGCTCCACGGGCTAAGGTTCTATGACAAAGTTTTTAAGAAACGAGGGAAAGTGAAAGACAATTCAGGCAGCTTTCCTGAAACAAAGGATGCTTTTGTGCACCAACAATGGATAGATGTATTGATAGACAACAATGTGCATTAGTAAATGCATCCCTTTGAAAAGCTGCACGATCTGTTCTGAAGCACAATAGATACACTTGTTGCAGAAGCGATGCTTCAAAGAAACTGACTTGGCGACGGCAAGCTGGGATGGGAAAACAGTGTTTACCAGCGGCCCTTCAGAATGGTGGAGATTACATGGAAAATTACAGCATTAAAGGTTGTGCTCTTTGGTCATTTTGCAGAAGACTCACAAGGTTATTTATGTAGCATGTACACATACCAACCATTTTTCAACCATACCAAACACCCACAAGAACAGACAGGATGGAGTGTGAAAAGCAACATTCAACCTCCCGGTTTTATTCAAGTTACTTATATTTCAAGCTTTCTCTCCCCAAATTCCAGGAAACGTTGTGCCCTGTTCTCACAAAAAGCGATCATAAAACCCAGGCTCTTTCTAGCTAAACATGAAAGGGGTCACCTTTTTACTGACCCAGAGCTTTCCAATCTTCGTGCTTCTATTTTGCCTGGTTTTTAAAGTCTGCTGTGTTATGTGTGACTGAAGTCCAAGATTTTATATGTCTAGACTAGTGTTTTTCAACCTTGGCAACTTTAAGAAGTGTGGACTTCAACTCCCAGAATTTCCCAGCTAGCGTGGAGTTGAAGTCCACACATCTTAAAGTTGCCAGGGTTGAAAAACACTGGTTTGGAAGATCACCTGGAGAGTACCTGGGTTTTAAACATAAACCAAAACAAGCTAGACGTCCCTGCCCATAGAAAACTAGCAAGGCAATGGGAGAAAAGAGAACGGGTAGAAAGCCTATCCCTATAGGAATTGTCTGTTGCTACAGAAAAGAGCATGCACAACACAGATCCTCAGCTGCTGTCTTGAAGAGATGCAATCTGGTTCTCATGGTAGATGCCATGTGGTGCAGCAGTTAAGATGCTGGAGTAGGAGTGTGGAGACTCTGGTTCAAGTCCACCCTTGACAGGGTGAGGGTTGTAGTGGAAATTGGCAAAAGAACTGATATATCTATTTATCTAAATAGAGATATGTATAGGAAGGAAGACAGTTACTTTGAAAAGCCAATGTGGTGTCATGCTTAAGGCACTGAAAGGGCATTTGGGAGTTCAAGTCCAGTCTCAGCCATGGAAACTCAATGCATGACTTTGGGTCAATCACTCCTTCTCAGCCCAACCTACCTCATGGGGGTCAAGTCAGGGCAGTGATGGCATACCTATCACCCGCGTGTCAAAGGTGACACGCCAGCATTCACCAACACCCAACAACAACTATTCTCCCTGTCTGAGTTACCAAAGAAACTGAGTTTAACTCGTATTTCATTTTTGTAATAATTTGACGTTTCTTTATGTGACACATAGCACCACACAGGACTGGACTGTATTCTTTTCCTGAAGAAATGAATATGGAAAGAATTGTTTCTCTTTTGTTTGTTTGGGTGGGGGTGACACGCCAGCAGAGTCAAGGTAGACATTTTCCTAATTTTTGACACGCTGAGCCCAAAAGGTTCGCCATCACTGAGTCGGGGGGAAAAGTGGGATGAGGAGCACAGTGTATGTCATTCTGAGCTCCAGAACAATAAGTGGGCTATACATCTAACAAGTAAATGAATAAATAATTGGGTTGCAATCTAGTGCTTGAATAGCCAGAATGGAAGTTGAAAGATTCACACACGATAAATGGCATCTGTCTACCAATCAACCTGAACATCTGATGGAATATGAAACACAAATGTTACCAAAGCAAGACTTCTGTTTTTTCCCTCCCTGAGTAGGAAACCATACACACAAACCATATTCATCGCATAAACAAGTGTTATGGGATTCTCATGATAATCCAGAACTACAACAGTTTACCAGCTGCTCCTTAATTTAAACAGATTGACAGCCAACAAAATTGAAAACTTGGAGACAGGTTTTATTTTAATGGCTTCATGGATCTTCATAATTCTCAGTTAAAGAACTAAGATCAGAATAACTGCATATAATAATAATTGAAACTAGGCTGTAGCCATAAACATTAGTGTCCTGAGGAACTCTGCCCATTTATGTAGGTGTTCAGGGGTAAAAAAACCTTATGCCAATAAGTATGATTCAAATAAGCATCTTCATCTCAATATCCATTATCTGCACAAGTATTTGGGCTACATTATTGAATGTGGGGGAAAAAAAACCCAACAACTCTAGCCCAGGATATAGCATTTGAAGAGCATATTCAAAGACGCCAAAAGCTTTGATGTGTGGAGAAAGTGAACTTTGCTGGAGAGTTGGAACCAATGCTGAGCAGCAGGCAATAAAGCAGTGCAACTTTGAAAAACTTGCCTGAAGTGAAAAAAACATTTCCAGCCCACAGTTCTGTTCATTGTCCCCCATCCCCACCTCAAAAAAAAAAAAAAAAAACACCCCAACCAATCAATCAATCAATGTGCCTTTGCCAGCTTTCCTATCTCTCATTAACTAGCACTGCCTAAGATGGAATCTGGAGCCTCCAGTCCCCGATTGTAAAAGCAGAGACATCACCGATGCAGCCCATTCGAGGCACTGTGTGTTATCAGCTCGGTCTGCCTTAAAATCTTAAGCTAAGTCAAGTGTGACAGAGTTAAAAGCAATTCTTTCATGCAGTGCGATTGCTGGTTCCACTTCATCGTCTCCCCTCGGGTTCAACAATAAATTGAAATAAAACAAAACTCTGCATCATCCTCATCATTATTATGTTGGCTCTTTAGCAGGAATGCATCTTGTGGGGGACACCCTTGATTGCTCCCTTTGACTCGTGGCCATAGAGCTCCAGAGTCCAGGGCATTTTTCTCCTGAATCGCCAGGGAACACACAGACATCAAAGACAATATAGAGAACATTACATCCATCACAATCCTTTTATTTCCAGATCTGTCCCCTTGAGCAATGGCCAGTTTACAAATGACTATTCTTATGGCTTTGCTTTCCTTTCAGGAAAAAAATCAGGTAGGGAAAAATATGGGTTTGGGCAGCAGACAAGCAAAGGTGTTCTGATCATAAACTGCTGGCATCAACCGGCGCAACCCTAGAGGAACTCAGGTTAACAACTGGAGGGCACATGATGCTGCCCAAGAACAAGAATGATTGTCATTCATGACATTTCATTAGGCTGTCAACACGGAGACAATTCAATCACCGTTTCAATGGGGAAGCTGTTGACATTCTAGACCAAGCCAAATCCAAAAATGCTAGGGAAGTCCTGGAAGCTTGGCGTTCAGACAAACCAGCCATCAACAGGCCCACAGAGATAAATGACATCGACATACCATTTTTAAAAAGATACAACCCAAAATCAAGGAAGGAAGCATGTCCTCCAGCAGCCAGCGCCCAGATCAGCAGGGACCAGTAGCAGATAAACAGATAATCAAAGAAGATTGTCCTCATCAAGGAACCGTTGAGGAAAGAATCATACCCCAACCAGGGTAACCTATAGATCAGTGTTTCTCAAGCATGGCAACTTTAAGATGTGTGGACTTCAACTCCCAGAATTCCCCAGCCAGCCTGCTGGCTGGG